GGGGCGCCCCCCCCCCGCCCCCCCCCCCCCCCCCCCCGCCCGGGGGGCGGCCGCGGGCCGGTCCGGACTATTGACGGGGTGCGGGCAGCGGGGGCCGATGGCGGGGGGCGGTCGAGCGGGAGCGCGGGTGGGCCACGGTGGGCTCAGGGGCCTTGTCCCCGGTCCCCGCGGCCTGCAGGAGGCCCAGGCAGGGTCAGCCCTGAGCCCGCCTTGTCTTCCCCCCCCGCAGCAGCAAGGTCTCCCGCGACACCCTGTACGAGGCGGTGAAGGAGGTGCTGCAGGGCAGCAGGACCAAGAAGCGCAAGTAAGAGCCCGGCGCCGTGGCAGGACCGCGCGCGTCACAGGCCCCGGCGCTCGGCCGGGGTCTCGCTCCCCTCCAACCCGGCTGGGCCCTCACCTGCGCCGCTTTTCTCTCCCCTCCCTCAGATTTGTGGAGACGGTGGAGCTGCAGATCAGCCTGAAGAACTACGATCCGCAGAAAGACAAGAGGTTCTCCGGCACCGTCAGGTTCGGCATCCTCTTGCTCCCACCCAGCCTTCAGCCTGCGCACCCCCCGCCACTGGGCCCTGCCCCGGGGCAGGCTGGCTGCCATGGCAGGAGGATGCAGCACTGAACTGCTCGGGTAGTTCAGACCGCCCCAGCTAAGTGGGTGTGGCTGGACGGACCCCTACCCTGGGTCTTAAAACATGAGGGGAGGTGTGGGAGGCCCCTGTGCTGTCCCCACCGGCCTGCTGGAGAAGGCAGGTTAGAAGCTGTGGAGGAAGATTCCCAGGTGCTGTGGTAAGGTATCTTCATGATGGCTCCCATGGAAGTGTGTGTGGCGCTGGTGGTTCATAGTAATTCGGACCTTCTGTCCCCAGGCTGAAGTCAACTCCACGACCCAAGTTCTCAGTCTGCTTGCTGGGGGACCAGCAGCACTGCGATGAGGCCAAAGCAGTTGACATCCCTCACATGGACATAGAAGCACTGAAGAAACTCAACAAAAACAAGAAGCTGGTGAAGAAGCTGGGTGAGTGATGGTGTGGATCGGGCTCTGAGTACCCTGGTTAAGTTGGGAGGGGATGGGTAAGTGGGACGGTTTTTCCTGTGCTCACATGAGGACATGGTTTAGTGGTGCACTTGGAAGTGATAGGTTAATGGTTGGACTTGATGATCTTAAGGGCTTTTTCCAACCTTAATGATTCTATGATTTCCATGTCATGGGAATAGAAAATTGACCAGAGTCAGCCTGAAGTACAGAAATCTGTCTAGAAACTACCCAGAAGAGCCAACAACCTGTTAGGAGTGCAGAAAGTCTGACAGGTCAGCTCTCCAGGAGTGAGATTGATTGCCCTCCTCCGGAAGGAAGGGATACAGGAAAATTGTTCCTGTCTTCCTGAAAGTTTCATCATTAGCTGGTGTTCACTTGCCTGGTCAGGGAGCTGGAGTGCAGCAAAAGCCGAGTAAAGCTGGAGGCAAAAGTTTGATTTAGTCCTGCAGTACTTAAATGAAGAGAAGGAAATTTGCTTGTTTTTGCTTGGTAAGAGAGAAAATCCTTCCCTCCCTGCAAATTCAAAGTCATTTTGATACATATCTTAGGTAGACAAGAAAAAATTCCCACTCAATCCATAATTAGCCATGGAACCCTATGCAATTAGGAAATTATATAGGATACCACGGTCGCTAGCTAAGCCTCTCTGAGGTGTGTGATAGATCAGTCCATCCACATGTGCACAGGCTGCAGTAGAGCTCAGAGCTGGTAGAGCTCAGAGTTCAGCGTTAGTCACCTGTGGCTCAACAAATGCTTCAGGGAAATGAACTACGTACAGTAAGAGCGTGGGACTGCTGTCAGCATGTGAAGCTCAGTGCTGGCAGGCTTGGCTGGTGTGACGGGAGTAATTTCTAATATAATATTAGTAAAAAGTGCTTAGGTTCAGCTAGTCAGGACTCTGGGAATGTGGAGGTGCACATGTGAGGGAAATGGAGCAGCACGGCCTGGGCTGAGCTGTTAGTTTCAAGCTTGGTGTAGGAGCTGAGAGTCTGTCCTTACCTACGGTGGTTCTCTCCTCACAGCCAAGAAGTATGATGCCTTCCTGGCTTCCGAGTCCTTGATCAAGCAGATTCCTCGAATCCTGGGTCCAGGTCTGAACAAAGCCGGCAAATTCCCTTCTCTCCTCACTCACAATGAGAACCTGGTGGCCAAGGTTGATGAGGTCAAATCTACCATCAAATTTCAGATGAAGAAGGTAAAGCAGGGCTTTTTCTCTCCCAGGCAGCTACATACATAAGGATTATTTGTGGTGGGTGGTCACTTGTATGTGGCTGCGATCTCTGGTCTGGGCTGTAGGTGTCCCTCGAGTGTCTTCCTAAAACAGCAGCCAGTGAGAAGCATCCAGTGCTCTCCTGCAGCGAAGGGAGACAAGTCCCGGGAGCATTCAGCTGCTAGCTGGAAAGGAATAATTTATCTGTCGTTAAAAAAATCTTAGAGCAAATGATTAGGAGATGATCTTGATGTTTCAATGCTGAGCACAATCAGTCATAATTAATGCTTCTTACAGTAAGTGGGTGACACTTGCAGGGTGGGGCCCATGGGCCAGGCATGCCCCCGTGGGTCTGTGCACGCAGCAGTGCTTTTCCAGAGGCAAGTCTGGGACTTGACTCTGCAAGTGAACTTTGGAGCAGCTCTGCAGATATCTGCTCTTGCTGTCAAGAGATGTCAAGGCAAGCTGACTCCCTAAAACCAAAATAACCCTGTTCAGGCATTTTAATCTTGTGTCAGCAGTCTAAATGTGACTCATGGGTATTATTGAGAATTAACAGCTCTGCTAGCTGAGGTGCATCCTTGGACTCCAGCTGATCTGGGCCTGGGGACACAACTGGGAGGACACAGCAAAT